GATTAATCGTCACACAAATTCACCCATAGGTGTTTTCTCGCAACCAGATGCACGTTTTGCCCATGTGCATATCGACTTGGTAGGTCCTTTACCTCGTTCAAACGGTTTTAATTATCTTTTTACATGCATAGATCGATTTACCAGATTCCCTATAGCCATCCCGATAGCGGACATCACAGCGGAAACAGTAGCCAAAGTTTTCATGCAGAACTGGGTAACCATTTTTGGTACACCCATAACAATGACGACGGATAGAGGAGCGCAATTCGAATCCGAACTATTTAATAACTTGGCTAAACTTCTAGGCTCCAATAGGATACGCTGCACTGCATATCATCCTCAGGCTAATGGGATGGTAGAACGTTTTCACCGTCAGCTAAAAACCGCCCTTATATCTCACTCAAACCCCAATCAGTGGACAGAATTCCTACCATTAGTTATGTTGGGAATACGAACATCTGTCAAAACTGACGCACAGTGTTCAGCTGCGGAGCTGGTTTTCGGAACAACTCTGAGACTACCAGGTGAATTTATTAACCCCAATACTAACAGTCAAAAACTTAATTTAGGAAACTACGTAGATCAACTACGGGACCATATGTCCAAACTTAAGCCAATTAATACTCGCGAACAATCGCGTGCCGTATATGTACCTAAAGACCTAAGCAATTGCACGCACGTCTGGATAAGATGTGACAAAATAAAAGCACCACTTAGCCCTCCATTTGAAGGTCCTTTCAAAGTCGTCTCAAGAAAATCTAAATATTTCGTGATAGAAAAACATGGAAACATCGACACAGTAAGTATTGATAGGCTAAAGCCGGCTTATCTAGATCATGAACCACCATACGTGTTGTTAGATCGTTTAACTGACAAATCCATTACGGAATCGAAATGCAAAAACGATAAATCTTTACAAATGACTAAAACGGTTCGCTGGGCACATCCGATTAGCCAATCAAGGATGTTGACAGTTTCAGCTGCAGGATAAAATCTAACCACGTAGCTAATCAGACCCTTCATCTACTTAAAAATAACTTTTCTCCTCATTCCGCCTCACCTACAACTCCCCAGACCTTTTGCCTTTGATATATAAGTGTTATGTTAAAGTTTTTTTAAATACTGGACACATAAGCTAGGTATTCCGAAACGATGGCTGCGGATTTTAATCAAACTCATACAACTAACACTGGCAAATACAACGAATTCAAAAAGCAACCCAGGCGAGTTTTATAATTTCTTTTTCTGGTTAATTAACTATGTTGGCTGTACTTCTTATATATCTATATACATTTTTCAAGTAGACTGGCTATACATATATACCATATGAACTACTTCTAAAAGTTTTCGGTCGAAGATGTGTTTAGTAGCTTGATACGCTTAATACTACTATTAATAAGTGGTTTTCTAGACAAAACATTTTGGATTAAACTATGGTCAAATACTTAATAAAGTTCTCATCATTTTTTTTCATGTTTAGGAAACTTACATAATGACTTAACCAGTTTTCCTACAGCATGCTTTTCAATGTGATCATATAACCCATCTTTATTGGCAATATTCAGATTTTTTTTAAATTTCTGACATTTAAGAATCAATAACCGTGAAGATATAGTACAGTGCGTTACTGTAAGGTTACTATGTCAGCCGCATTGATTCCACATACCTAATTTTAAACAACTTATAAGGGAACTGTTTAGTAATCATAACATTGAACTGACAATATGAATATCACGACTATGCTAACGTTAAACCAATTATTATTAGTGGTCCATACAAAGTCCTGGAACTTAACATTAGCGTTATAAAAAAGACATTTTATGTCAATAACTGATATATATATACTCTTTGTTTTAAATATAACGTAAAATGGAAATTTACTAAACTTGTAGTTTTTTTTCTATAGTAATAATATTCATGTAAACAAAGAACTTATACTTTTCCAATATGGCACTTTGATATATCAATCTGTCCTCTTGTCATTTTTTCTCTCATATGTGCGCGACTTACGGGCAACAAACATCGTATTGAAGGTGGGTCTGGTGAACAAAAACGCAGGCCCCACATTCACTCGAACTTCTGCCCTCCTGAATGCTAGACTGCGTGCTTAGCCGTTAAGCCACATCAGACCAGGGAGGAAGTGACTTCAATATTTCCTTACACCAATTAGTCACTCATAATACTAATGAGTAATAGGACTTACACACTTCTGAGGTGCAAACCAATTCGTTACTTGGATGAATTGACGATATATTGCTTCAATATATCATGCATACCTAAATCAAACAAGAAAAGGGTATTTGACACAACTGTACTTGATCCGCATACTCTACACAATTTTTCTTTTGCTTCTTAACCGTATATTCTTTTCCGTTTTGTGGAGTATTCTGATGCACCCTTGGTTACGCACCTAGTTGTGAAACGCGGTCATCACAAGCTCAAGGTCACGTGTTTGATCGATTTTGTTAAAGAGTCCAACTTCTAGCAAGTTCACCCTCTTACATATATGCATTACAAAAGAGTATTTTTTTGTTTTCATGGTTTTTCGTGCACAAGATATCTACACTATGTCTATTCTCTTCCAGAATACCGATCCGTTCTGGAGACCAAGCACTTACATGTAACCGAACAATTATCAATTACATTTATGTATTTCCATTTTGTATCTTATTATTTTATGCAGGCAGTGGAGCAGTTCTTCAGGTTTGCTTGATTTTCACCATTACCTTTGAAGTAGATTCTTCTTTACTTTTTACTTGAGGGCGACTCAAGAGGCAGGTGAGTAAACACCTGATAGCCGGTCTGAGCATGGAAAAATCGTACCTCACCAACATGGTGTTGGGTAGCCCGCTCGCGGCACTTCCTCAGATACTCTTATTCCACATTCTCACACTCTTTCTCTTGAAAGCACGCAGTAAACCGTCAGCGATAGTTGTAGAATAGATCACATGCTACAAAATAAGATGACAAGCTAGTAAATGAGGAGACATCCATGGACTATCGTTGACAGCGTTAGTCGTCACTGATTGTAAGTCAAATAGTGAGCGAGTTGATAAATTTCCCTTGGGATGAGAAATAGATAGGTGTTTTCGATAGATAGGTTAATCGAACCGACGTTCCTAAAGAAGTCGATTCTAGGGGGAAGCTAATGTAACAGCTCAGGTTGGTTGGTTAAGAGTTGACCCCAAACAACCAAGCTTATGCCAAAACAGTATTGTTCAAGTATTCATTCACTTCCTTATTTTTCATAAGCGTTATATTCCCTATTATCTTGAATGTTGGGAGCCTTTGTTTGTCTGAACAGATAATCCCACGCTCCACTGTCACCGCGCGAAGATCGAAATAAAGACCTATTCACTACTTCTCTGGTTTCTTCTATCAATAGCACGAGGGTTACCTTAAGGCACGAAAATACTGCCCGGGTGCCCAAACCGAAGCAGGTGGTTATCTTAGGGGGCCACTCCCCGAGCCTTTGACCTAAAGGTCTAACCCACAAGGCAGTGGAGCATCGTGAGGAGATGCACTCTCATGGTAGCCGGTGACCAACGATTGGTTCATACGCCATTTGTTCCCGCAGGATACTGGAGCCCATGTGCACCATTGATTTGGAATTCGGTTAAAGCGCCGGACATTCGCTTTTCGTCCTCTCATTTTCGTAGACAACACCCCCGCCACGAGAAGGCAATGAGTAGGACTTCCCTGGCAGAGGCTGTATACGCGTGGCCGTGTGAGAGTATTTCGAGAGGGAGAGCGGACTCTCCCCACTCTCGGCCGTACCAGGGCATTCAGGGGGGCACCATTTCTAAACGCAAGTCTGTTATTTGAATACTGATTATTATATGTTTGATTGGTTAGACAACAACGATGACAACAACATATCACAACTCCAATACCCAATATAAGAATAACAATTGTACTGACAACTATAGCAATAGACGCCGGCATACCAAGTGACAATAAACCTGATAACCAGCTATTAACATCAATCAAATCATCATTAGCAAGTAGTGGACTGTTTGGATCTTCCATATCTTTATGTGGGATAGAAAACAAAACGTGAAAAAGATTTTTTCAACAAATACATTGACAATGATTAACAGTCAGTCAGTAACAAAGTAGAACTTTGTACGTACGTGCATCAGTTCGAGTTGCCACACCACCTTAACACAGAGATGCAGTTGTCGATTCAAATCCCGTAGTGGTAGAGGTAGCAAGAGTATTAACAGAAAACCAAATGATTACATAGCGGATGCAATTTCGCCGTTCAACTATCTTATAATTTGACTGTTATCGTAGGAAACCTTTCAAATATTGTTTTATCTTGTCAATGGATTAAACGCTCGATCCACATGACATGAACTACGATATTACTTAAGTTTAAACACATTCAAACGGCGGTTAATCATATGCAACTTAAAACCTGGCACATATGTACATCGATTCAATTCAAATTACAGTAGCTCACACAGATGAATTTCATCATTAAACATGAAGGACTGGTTGTTGTGTATTTCCTGTTGATTCTCTTAACAGTTGAATTGGAACAGGTTCAACAATAGTATTTATACAGAGAATGATAGACAGTCAACTTACACCAAATATAAAAGCGATTTTCCAAGATGAGAAGAATATAAATGTTTAAATATTGTACTGTATGCCATATACAAAGCTATCAAGTGGTGATGTGAACTGTATACATTATTGGTTTCTTTCTTAGATAACAGGCACTGATCAGTAGAACAGTAAAGTTACGTTTAAGTATTTTTCTTGTTTGTGAGTGAAAACAAAAAATGTTATTATGTAAACAGGTATAGTGTGATTATTGGCTAGTGAGTGAGTGATTATCTTTTTTTACATTAAGCTAACACTTGAGAAAATCAATATGGAAATATGTGATAACACCTACTAATAATTACATTTGTTTTCGAGGTTTTAGTAAAAGGAGAGCTGAATAACAACGTTAATAGAGGTTAGTTACCATCCAGTAAGCAAAAAAGACATCAATGAAGATTACCTATTAGTTAACATGGAAACTCGTAATTTCACTGAACATACCAATAAAAGCTTGACAATGAGAAATATCTTCATCTTTCCTATCTTCACAGTTCGCAATACCATCGCATAAACTCTTCTTTGTAATACAATATCCCATATATTGTTTATCATGATTAGGTGGAAATCTGTCGTCATCTAAACTACGGATATATTGAGGAGGAGATAAGAATGATCCATACAACCGGCTATCTGCACTAAGTGAAGTTGATGTTATCATAGAATTTGCCCCCATGAAACGAGGAACTGCACTGCAGTAAAAGTTGCTTGATGGACAACTACTATTTCGAGCTGTTAAAATGAGAAAAAATAGTTTATAAAGCGGTGTAAATAAATATTATGAAAAATGCTTTGTTTCTTGAGATTTTAAACAGACCTTGTCAAAAAGGACGTTTAGGAATTCTTAAAGTATGGATAAAAAAAATCATATTCTGATGGTCAAGGACGACACGTTGAAAAATCCACTAATCATAAGTGACTTACTAACTCGATTTTTAATTATCCGTCTTGGCTTTGCTACAATGGTTTGTAGTTAGGGTAGGAAGTAAATTCGGATAAACCCAATTTGAATTGAGTTACTGTGAATCGGTGAGTTGAATATTATCAAGATTATCCAGTACGTGACGTTTTGGTTAAGCGGTTAATGCAACGGTTCCTGATAGTACAAATCCGAATATAATTTGAATTTGATATCACTTGCTAAGCTGCATACCGAAGAATCTTTTCGTCCTGCAGTAAGTTATATTTGTTAAATCGAACTACGCAAAAATGTGCTTCGCACTGAGTACAATAACAGAAATTCGAAACTAGTAATGCCTAAGGTAGTAAATATATCACGTTGCTGATGTTCGGCAGAATACTACATTTGAAATTATATACGCTAGGTTATAACAGAAATTCTTCGGTAGGCCATTCGTAAAAAATGAATCACCTGATCCAAATTAGCACACTGTCAGTACAGGAAGAAATTACCAAGAATAAAGTCAAAAGATCTGAAATAATGATATCAATGGTTCTAAAAGAATAAACAAAAGGAAACGTGGAGCAAATAGGAAGCTATCATTTCGCAGTACTTTCTAGGTTGCGACATGTATCTAGGATGGGTTAATAAATTTCACTGAACTACATTTTTAATATCGCACTTGATGGTGTAACCAGACGAATGACCAAAACATCCTACATTTATATGGGATTTATAAACTGGGAGTATATTCTCAGGCATTCAATGCAACTAGCGACTAAGTACGAAATTGTACTATTCGGAAAAAACATTGAATATTTCACATGCGAATAACCACTTCCATATTAACGCAGCAATTCTACACAGTCAGTCAGTCAGTAACAACGTAGAACTTCGTACGTACGTACATCAGTTCGAGTTGCCACACCACCTTAATACAGAGATGCAGTTGTCGATTCAAATCCCGTAGTGGTAGAGGTAGCAAGAGTATAAGGAGTAATCGGGAAGATTAGGGTTTGAAGATGTTATTTAAAGAGTATAATCCAGTGAAATAAATTTGGAAAGAGGAAGAAAGGGACATGAAGAATTCAGAAGATTAGAATTTGGGAGAACACAACTTTGTGTAAAGCGCATCAGTATTTGAGAGTTAAATTACCAGTCTTTGTTCTCACGTCAAATTATACAGGTGTTATCAGTTGACAACTAATTACAAGGGGAATGACATGGAGTAAAGTGTATCAAAGATGTATTAGTAAGTTATCTTAGTAGACTTACTTCCTTGAATTGCAGTAAGAATAACTCGAAATCCAGGTTTCACACCGGGTAAAATGGGAGGTCGTCGAGATGAGGTACTGAGAACAAGATAATGTGAATTATTTTAATATGTCAATGTAGACCGATAGTGATTGAACAGTTTATATATAAATATACAACGACTTACTGGAAAGCTAAACATATGTAGGACTTTGTCGTAAATATAAGATACTTCGGATAATTCGGTCCACATAAACCACGTTCTCCACCAGCTTCTGTCTATAAAAGATAATATATCTAAAAAGCTTGTGGAACATAGATGTAGAATATTTGGATTTATTGATGCAATAAGTGCGAATTACACAAAACACAAGTTAACACACACAAGTCCTCGTAGTCTAAAAAATAAAATGATCAAGTTAAGCTTGATGATGAAAAAATTAAGACCCGGTATAATTGTTGTTATGAAGAGTGGCTCATCGTAGATGTAAACTGTTCTCCAATTATTGCAGGGGTCAACTGTATTAGAAGTAACAGAGTTATAAATCGCAAGGGAGGAGACATAATATTACATGTGTGAGACCACTTTCGTGTACAATCGAGGATATCAGAGACGCACGATAACGGTATACGTGAAGCAGATTGTTATACAATTAAATCTAGACACGGAGTAGTGACCACGTTATCTTGCCGAAGACTTTGTCTCAAGTCATATTTGTACGTGGAGTTAGGCTGATTGTTGTCTCATTCCTTATTAGCCTTAAGCCTAGTAAGTCACCCGATCCTGATGGGTTACACCTACGATCGCTGACAACCCTCTTAAACACTATTTGAGGACCACTCAGGAAACTATTTAACGAAATCTTTTCCTAAGTTCGACTCCCCAGGGATTGGAAGGATGCCATAGGTAGCCCTACACTAACGTATGGAGACATCTTTTTTAACTACGGACATGGCAGCTTAACCAGCATATTAGTTAAATTGTTTAAAAACATAACTCGGCCCAAGTTACTGAGTCACATAGAATCATACAATCTGTTCAATTATGAGCAACACGTGTTTTGGAATAAACATTCATGCTTAGTTAACTTACAAGTTGCGAGAGGGGATTGAACAGGATCCCAAGATAACGGTTTGTCTGTCGACGTGATATTTATAGCTTTTAGTAAAGCGTTTGATTAAGTGTCTTATGGCTTATGCACAAGCCGTACAGCTTTATAATAATAGCCGCCATACAATAGTGAATAAAAACTTTCCTCTATAGCTGGCGTCAGAAGGTGAGGGTAAATAGGACATCTGAATGTAAACTGGTTAAAAGTGGCGTACTCCAAGGTATTATTTTAGGTCCCTTAAAATTTCTTCCCAACGTTAAAGAATTAACGTAATAAGTCGTCGAAACTTATTTGCAGATGACGTTTAAATGAGAACGATAATCTTGATCTTCAAGCTGACCTAGATGAATTAACTGGATGGTACCAAAGATGGGCTTTGAAAATTAATCGTAGAGTTTGCCAATGCACATTTAATATAGTAAGAAATACCAGTATACTACCAATAGCATATCGCCTACTGGAACCCCTCACCTGAACCAGTTGTATCAGCCTTATCAGTCAACATCTTCAAGGAGAAGCTGGATTATCACTAAAGAACAAGGTACACGGATCAACACAAATTCAACGACCTATTATTCTAACTGCTGAAGACTGAACACACCTTAGGCAAACGTTCAATGCATATTTGTAAGCAGTAACAGAAATCAGTTCACAAGACTTACCATAGCCTTGGACTTTGCTGTATTAGAAACGAATACATATAAGTAATTCTCGACACAATTGCGAGTCTTAGAGGGGACATAAAATTCCTCAATTTTCATCATAATTCTGGCATTCTCAATCGGTGAATGCACAGCAAGCTCACACGAGAAGTTGCGTGGATAAGAAGTCGTGTTATGAGATAATACAACCATACTGCCTTCAAGATTGTCAACTTGCAGGAACTTTGTAACGGGATGGTGTAAGAGGAAATCTTGGTTAGGTGAGACACGGCAGTCACGAGAGAGAACATCTGAAAGTCAAAAGCAATAACAAACTGGAGAGCGTTTTTGAATGTGTATTCATGAATTTCACTTTTAAAGTTGATATAAAATGTCCCAAACAACCAATTAGGAGGAAATCAAGGCGAACAAATGGGAAATAAAGGGGAAATAATGGGGAAACGCGCAAAAATGTCTGCTTTTTCTAGCCTGCCCAGGAAAATAATGCAAGTCTTCCACTTTTTGTCTCTCTGTCTCTCAAACGTCGCCGAATTGTATACTTTTCGCCTAAATATACAACCTACGGAGGTTGTATAAATTGGGCTTTTTATAGATTGAAAATGATGAAAACCTTGTGACTACGTGAATGAAAAAAATTTAAAATTTAAACGTCTTATTGAGGTAGTAGTCAATGACAAGTCACAAGTAATTTGAAGATGAACGAAACGAACAGCAGCCTGAACGAAAACTAAAATGTGTAACCTCATATTTTGTTTTACTCGCCATTCAATATAAGTAAATACGCATATATATTCGACCATTTATTACTTGATATCGTTTTAGAGTTTATCGTAACAATTAATAGACTGAAGAGTATTTTGCTTTTAGTAGTGAAGGTTGTCAAACGTCCTTGTTTCTGGCCTGAGGTAGGCGGGTTTTCGATTTCCTTCGGCGTGAGTCATGGGCTTTCAAAATTTCAGAGGGAGAGGAGGTGGTTCACGTGGTTCCCAGGGTGGTTTTCGAAGAGGCTCCAGGGGAGGAGGATTTTCTGATAAGTTTCAAAGTGGTCCACCTGAAGAGGTTGTCGAAGTTGGAGTATTCGCTCATCCATGTCAAGAAGATATTGTCTGTAAAATCACATCGGAAAAAATACCTTACTCAAATGCTCCTGTTTATTTGGCGAACAAAGAAGAAATAGGCAAAGTCGATGAAGTTTTTGGCCCAGTCAAAGATGCAGTACTGTTTTTAATTTTTTTACCTAATCCATTTGACTAGTACTTTTCAATCAAACTTTCAGATACACTTAAAAGTAAATCTTTTCAAGAAGGTGTTAAGGTATTCATTATTATCCAGATCATATGATATTTTGTAGTTTTTTATGGATCCTGCCAAGTTTCTCACACTTGATCGCGTGATGAACCCAAATTCTAGTAGAGGTGAGTTGACTTTGTAAAATTTATTCCAACTGTAGCTTTGTGTGTATCTCTAATCGTTCGCTTTAAGAGGCACAAACTAATATAAATTTATTCTTGAACACTGACATTTAGTTAAATCTTCAGTCATAAGCATAACAAGACTAAACTATCAGTGCGAAATGAGCGATTTTTCATTCAACTAACATACAGCTAACGTTAATGAATGGCATTATGTTAGTGAATTAGGATTTTCACCTTTCATAGACTAGCCAAAATACCATCTCAAAAATGACTTACAACTACGATTGTAGTCCTTGATGCCATATCTTAATTACAATGCCAAATCCCATACTTTGTGCTGTTACTGTTATAAACCGTGGTATTGACCAACCCCTTATTCTTCGTTCGTTTGGATTTATATTTCTATCACTTGAAATCAGTCCTATAGTACCAAAAAATAATTTCGTTATTGAAATATGTCATTTTTTCGAGTCATAATGTTCGTAATGCAGTCAGTGGTCATCAATTCCCGAGAGAGATCTTTCACGTACTATTGTGGTGTTGGTTCTGTGACCTTGAAACAATTAGTGATCAGGTTATTTAACTGTCAGTATTATATGTTGATATGCTTGTGACTGTGTTAACCTTACATAAATTAGCAAAACATTGTTCAAAATAACGGTATTGCAGTTTCAGATTGATTATGGCTTACTCGTAACCTAGTTGTTTCTTGCGTGCATAATACCCCACTATACTGTGGTTTTGTTTCTAGACTGAAAATTTAATCGCACATCATGAACTGTTTCCTAGGTTGAGTCAAATGATGTCTTATTATTGTTTTGTTTATTTGAACACAAACATTGTTACAAGGGGCATCAAATACGTATGCGCCACACATTAACAATGAGGCCAGTAACCGTTATCACTGATATTTGTAAGGGCTTCGATACTGCCCGAGGGCTTGTGATAAAAAGTATGTCGTATCATTATGATTTTGTTTGGTGTAAATAAACTGTATGGCTCACACATCTAGTTGTCACCTGTGCTCCTAAATGCCCTGGTACGGCCGACAGTGGTGAGAGTCCGCTCTCCTACTCCAAGTACTCTCACATGGTCACGCGTATACAGCCTCTGCCAGGGAAGTCCTACTCACTGCCTTCTCGTGGCGGGGGTGTTGTTTTCGAAATTAAGGGGAAGAAAAGCGAATGTCCGGCTCTTTAACCAGGTTGGTGGACATGGAGAGTCCACCTAGGAGAGTTGGAAAACCCTTGTTCCAAACCAATAGTGCACATGGGCTACAGTATCCTGAAGGAACAAATGGCTTATGAACCAACCGTTGATCACCGGCTACCATGAGACTGCATCTCCTTACGATGCTTCACTGCCTTGTGGGTTGGACCTTCATGTCTAAGGCTCGGGGAGTGGTCCCCTGCGAAAACCACCTGCTTCGATTTGGGCACCCGGGCAGTATCACAGCCCTCACATATATCGAATGAGATTTGTGTGGCGCATATGTATTTGGTGCCTCCTTGTACCAATATCTATATCTTAAAATAAAATGTCACCTGTGATTTACCGTCTCTTTTGTGAGGACTTACAGGATCAGTGATGTCTCATAAGGTCTTCAGGATTACCATATTTTGTTCAAGTTAGTATAGTGTGAAGACGTCATCAAACATGTACATTTCGTTTTTATTATCTCAAAATGGATACTAAAGTCTATTTACTCGAATTCTGATAACTTGTATCACTACATTAAGTCAATGTCATTAAAATTATTACGGCAACACTTCAAAACTGTAAGCAAATAGGTCAGTTGATATTAAGTCGTTTTTGAATAGAACCGACTGGTGCCATTTTTTACATTGCGAGCATAGGCCATACTTGGTTAACTGTTTAATTACGGTTAATGAGAAGTTTACTGAATACTCCGGCATCGGACTGGGTACCCGGACCCACACAAAAATAGAATGATTTGTGTACCACATATGTATTCGGTGCCCCTTCGTACCAATATTTATGTGTTCAAATAAATAAATAAAATAAAGTGCTGAATAAAAGAATCCATTGTGTTCAGAACGGAGTCCTTTGTTTTCTCAGGTTTCCTGTCTCAATCCTTGTGTCATCTATCAGAATGTCAAGTTTATGTGTGTACAACCTATCGTAAACTTGTTGGTTTGACTGAACAATAAAAAAATTAACTGATATAAGGAGTGTGATGTATTCACCCCATACATTTCAAACAGTCTGGTCAAGACACTTTGTATGAAAACTAAAGAAAATCCAATTTTCGTCCTCAGACCTTTCTTAGATATCTTTAAAAGTACTTAAATACTGAATTCTTTGCACACCTTGTCACCTGAGGAACATTTATAAGTTCTTTTATCTACTAGTTTTAAATTCCTAACTTACGAAGTCATATAATCACCAAATTACTTTCTTAACAATAGGGAAAAGAGGTGGTCGTGGTCGTGGTGATCAAAAAGGTGGTCGGGGCGGACATGATTTTTCACGTGGTCGAGGAAGGGGGGATTCTCGGGGTGGTCGTGGCGATTTCCGAGGAGGACGTGGTGGTTCTCGTGGACGGTGGAGTGATGGAGGTGGTCACAGTAATCGAGGCGGATTTCGTGGTGGGAGGGAAATAAATGGTCAGCGTGGTGGTGAACGTCATTCATTCGGCGGAAAGCGAGGCGCAAATTTTTCTGCATCTAATACACCACAAAGTAAAAAATTCAAATCAGAAGACTAATTCACTGTTTTTGTATGATAAAACTTTTACCTGCACTGCTTTTCTTTTATTCCAAATCTCGTTCTTTTGCTACAGATCACTTATTTAAGATCACTTTTTCCTCTTGCTGGGCTACTATGTCTCTATCCTTGAACTGGTCGGGATTTCTATGTTTATGGTTTTCAAAAAGCATTTCCTAAACCTCCAACCTAATTTCGTCAAGTTATTTATGATAAAACCTAGTCATCCTACAATGAGTACATATTTACTGATTATCAAAATTGATTGTTGCAAACAAAGTTTGTTTGCTTGTTTATTAATTCTATTTAAAGGTCCTGGAACGATGAAAAGGGTCCTATTCCTAGCCTATTTCCATAGTACCTCAACAAGCTGATTTTTTTAACAGAAGTAGGTCAGTTCAACTTCATACATAGGTTATTGTATCAGACAGATTGCTTTCTCTCCCAATTAACTCTTATTAATGCCAAGAAAACAATTATTAGTTAGTCGGAGGGTTTTTGTGTGTTGGCCTTGTGGTTAAAACGTGCAAGGTACGATTATTAAGTCTCAGTTTTCAGTCTCACTCCACCTTCGGTTTAGTTTCCTAATTCTATCACACTAAATTGTGGCTCTAAACCTGCAAACCGAACCTTTATTTGGTTAGTGAGTAACAATTTATCAGTTCGTGATAACTTCTGAGATGATTGTTCGGTGGTCGTCACTGTATAAATTCTCATAGTAGTTATGTTCTCAGTATAAAAACCTCTTCCGGAAGTTGCCTCAATTTAATGCATACGAATTCGTTCTCCATTTTCATGACCCCTAAGAGTGGTGTCTCTCATTCCAAGCATAGCGATTAGTCTAATGTTCCAGTTTGGCTGAGTTTAATAAATCGGAAATCAGCGATTTAGTTTATTGATAACATGGTTTTAATAGGCTTCGTAATTGGTATTACGTAACGTTCCTTTTGCTTTATTTTTGAAAAAAATCAAAATTTATATGCAGTAGAGAATTCGGCTTAACGCACTCAACTTATTTGCAAGTGGTAACCGAGGCAACCCGAAATATCAGATATAGTTTGTGATTGTTTATATTTTCATCTACATTGCCACGCCTCGAAAATGACAAAAGGTTATTCATTATTATTTATAAATGTCTACGAGAAATATCAATATTATTACAGTTCCACCAGCTAAAACCCTCTTACTATTTGGCCTACTTTCCTGCCCAAATTTTTATCCTTTTTCCACTATTTTGTCTTAATTCGTTCAACGTTAGTAGGCAGAAACTATAAATATTAAAGAATCAACAAAACGTTAAGAGCTCCTTTACATCATGTAACAATAATACTAACTTGCTATTATTACAGTAATGGGGTAATCAGCCATTCAGAAAATAGCCTTACAATAAATTACTGTATTATCAATAAATGGTCATTTTTGGTACAATTCAATTGCATCCACACTTCAGTTAAAGAGGAACAATTAATAACTTCTTGTCTAGATGTTATTTCCTGATTTACCTTAAATATATTGAGAATCGGGAGGTATTGAACAGATACTTCGTCCACACATAGGACTTCTCAAGAGTATGCATTCACTCTCTTGCCGAAGATAAAACTTCTGGGATAATCTTAATTATTATTGCGTTGTTATCTAATGATTGTAGACCGACATCATCAAAATGTCGCCGGTTTCAACAAAACAGCTATCCATTGCTTATTGACGTCCAATGATTGTGTAGATGTAAACAGTCCTTCATATAAACTAAGGATTGGACAATTCTCAAACTTTTTATACCAGTAATGTTCTTCGCTTTTTTAGTCTCGATCTGTTTAGGTTAAAAATGAAATGCCGATTACGGCAGTGTAGTGTTTCTTGTTAGATTATGTTCCTGCTGTTCACGAGATATTAAGCATGTTACCAAGCTCAGTGATGCTCTTGTCATAATGCTTGCGTACCCTCCCAATCTGGTTTTATGCGCCATTCTCATAGGCTTTGTAAACCTATTAATAACCATTCGTTGCTCGCTTAGTGCAATCTTTTATGAATCGTGTCAGTTAGTCTACGTTTTATCGTTTGGACTAGCTAGATTTAGATACAATGGTCATTAGTCTGTGTTCCAAGAATCAAAACCGAAGCTTGTTCACCACATGAATAAAACAGAGGAAATCTACATGAAAATTTGTTTGACCTCAAGTCTATGTATAGCTACATTAGCTCTTGGTACCACGACGTTAGGAAATCGTCTTAATGTAAGAAAAAGTAAATTCTGTGGTACTGTTCAATAAATACATTGCAACTCAACGAATCCTATGAAGCTCAGTTAATCATTTTATAATAGTCTCACTTCTGTTTAGGGAGTTCTTTCTGTTAAGCTAGCTTATATTTCTCTCTTATTACACACTAGGATTTCTCTTTTTAATCTTAAAGGTCTATTCTACTGAGATTTCGAAAAACTATTTAGACATTCATTCTTGATCCTATTATGTTTGTTGAAATCCTTATTCAAGCTAAACTGTTGGAATGGTTCAATTACTTACTGTTTCTCTTAGTCTGTGAATATATTGAGTTAAATATTTAGCTGACGGTTAATTTCCCAGTAAGGTTTATTTTTACCAGTGGTTGGAAACATAGAAACACCAATCTTCGTATATTATTCATTTTACATGCGAGTGGCTACTTTACTTCGGAACCGGCATGCCTTCGCGGAATATCTTTGATCGTTCCATCACTAAGCGTAATAATTATTTTTATTGGGCTATAATAGATGTGTAGTTGAGAAAAATGTATTAAAAATCAGTAATGTTTTATTTTATTTGTGCTGTTTGTGTCAACGTAATGTATTTATGCCCCGAGCAATCGTTGTTCTTCGCTTGACATTGTCATCCTTTCTGTTTAGCATCGTCCCATGTATATTGGTGGAAATCAAAAATGTTTTGAATAGTCGAAATCCTTTTTAGCGGTTTTTAAAATCACTAATTATTCTGAAGTGTCTTATGAAAATTGTTTAAATATGTCTAAAGGTGTGTATAATCCGACTATAGCCCACGTAACCAACCATCATTTTAACAGTGTTTAGAAATCAGTGGACATTTGTCTTGATCTGAGATTCAGATGTATTTACATATATAACATGCAACGGTTCACTACTGATTTTTAGTCTAGAAATCTACTAATCCATTTAGAATATGATAAGCTTCTTCAAATGTTATTGGTTAGTATTTCGAATTGCTAACAAACTGGTGAGTTCACTAGTACTTCAAAAACATTACTTCTCTGAGTTTAATCACTTCGTTTTAAGCGGTGATGCTGAAGTTACTAACAGAATAATCGACTCCGGTTACAACTTCTTTTTCTGCTGCTTACACTACATTTGTTGTCGGTTTAGTAATGTGTATAAAGTTACCATTGAAGTCCAGCTGCCAATGCTAGTCCATATCCGTTATTCGAAACCGATCAATCTCTCGAGTTCCTTTGAATTTTATTTGGAAACTTTTAAATATATTTACAACATATTGCACTTAAATAAGACAAACAGAACGTTACAGCTACTATTGCCAGATAAGAATACACAATCTATGCACTGGCTTTTCAAAGCTCACTAACTGCTAAAGCTTCTATTTAACAAAAAAAATCAGCCCCGGAAAATATTATTGGGTCAAAACAAGTAAAGTAGTCTGACAAGTGGATTGTATGTTCATGATCTCTTCCCAACAGTTACATGATACTAGCTATTCATAAGGTGCACGTTTCTATGCTGGTTTGTTGAACGTTTGGCAACTTTTGAATAGGTTGTACGGCTTACATTTTCCAGTAACGATATTCTGTCAACTATAAGCTATTCTCACTACCGATTCTCTCATCACGACTTCGTACACACTTTGTATGATGATGTTTAATCTGATTCTGTTCCAACGAGTGACTAATAAAATCAATGCGCGTCAAAAATTTATCGCACACTTTACATTATCCACGTTTACCATCTAGTTAGTTGAACAGAATCAGTGTGTACTTCTTTAGGTAGTGTAGTGGCTAAGAACTTACACCAATAGTCTCATCGTTATATAATGTCTCTGCGTACTCAATAGACTTAGTAGAAAACCTAAAATTAACAATTATTGATCTGCAAAAAATAGTCGTCAACCGAATGAGATTTCTAAAGTGCGATAATTCATTTACTAGTTAAGAATTAGGTGAAGTTACGGAATGTGAATAAATATTTAATGACAGTTTACTCAATAATGAATTCATAACATTGGCCATAAATCTTTCATTGCCGACGAGCTTACACAATATATTTTGCACAGCAGCATTCCAAACAATTAGATCATACATATGACTTGTTATATTCCTTTCCTGCGTTGGAGAATAAAATCAAAATAAGCCACGGTCCATCATATCTTCGAGGTCATCATAGATTTTTTCCATATGCGTTGAATATTTCACTTTATTAGTAAACACTTCAACAACAAATTCACGATGACAGAAAAAGTCCGAAAATTCTTTAAACTTGTCTTGTGATTGTTGACTAATATGGTGCTTAACGGCTTCTATTAACGTTTGGTTAGCCTCTTTCATTGTTTGTATCAATTTATCAATTGACGGTTCAACACCCGGCATTAGACGACGCTTGGGTCGACCTAAGCGCAATGCGATCTCAGCTATTTGATGACATTTCTCATGAAATTCATAAGCATGGTTCAACTGTTCGTCTGATAGTATGTCATTTGATATTAAAATTAAGGCTTTGACATTTAATTTAATTGCCTGCTTTGTTAGATAAGCAGCTAGTTTATTATTACCTGTATATTGTTTGATCAAACTAAATATATTTTCAAATAAACGAGCCGATGAATCATCAAGAAATAATTTAATAATCCCTTTTGGTAAACTTCCAACCAACTTTTTTTGAGCTCGTAAACTGATCGACTGTGGATCGAACCGTTCTGTTGAATCTTCTGGTGTCTGAGAATTTTGAGGAGCAATTGGTTTGTTAGTCATTCTTCAAGTTTAAAAGTCAGAGTTTGCAATTTATTTTGTATATCAGAATTTGTATAGAGGCATATCAGATTTTGAGCAATGGGGCGTGGTTTCCAACATATAAAATGGACCAATAAGGAGTGGGCATAGGATAATTAGCTGATTGGTTAACTCGACCAGGAGAAATACCCAGTCGCAGAAACAACCAATTTAGGAACACTAGTTAGTACTTTTGAAAGGTAATGTGTATTATATTTTATCACTATGACCACCTAAGCACATCTAACTAGTTTATTGACTTCAATAATTTTCCACTGACGCAAATAAAACAATGTCCAAGCTTAATGAGACTGGTAACAATGGAAATTCTGAGCCTGTTTACTTCAGTTAACAATCATTTTACGAATTGTTATTCTGACCCAGGTCTATAATAATTGGTTATCCAGATTTAGAGTATTCTTCTGTCTCGTTTGTTACTTCCAGCTCACTTGCGTCCGTCTTTGGGAACAGCTGTAACAGTATCAATCAGTCTTTGATTACAGTTTTGTCTACTCTACTTTAAAAAGTATAGTACTACGGACAAATTTTATCTTTTACCTGGCATAAGTGGGTTCTCTTTCGTACCTACTTTACATATCCTAATCAATAAAATAGACTCAAATCAAACTTATTCTGTATAGAATACAATTTCGACAATTGTAGGTTGAATCTAATCATACAAACGTTTCTTCAGAACTGTTGTACGATGTAGCTCATGATTTATCAATACACCTTGGATATTTCTTATAAAATCTTTACTCGAAAATAAATTATTTTATGTTTTTAACACTAAAATTTCCACCTACGTAGGTGGAAATCGAATACGTACGTATTCGATAAGTTTCTTTAAAGTGCCCAGAACTAATAGACGACTTTCCATAAATTAGTTGCAAATCTGTTTAGATGAACTATTAGCTTACATATCTACACGATCAAGACCAAGAATTACAGTAAACCTAGATAGAGAGGTTTGTGACGGTAAATAATTCTCCGACATGAGAGGTTTTGTGAATCTTCAATATTATTGCTGAACACATCTATGGCGGCCTGCTTGAATAACGGGGCTACCTGTTTCTACCATCTAATTATTTCAACAAGTTATCTGCTTTTCATTTTGTTTTAACGACTCATTATGTCCATTAATCGCAGAACCTGGTTAAATGAGTTACAGGACGACTGCCTAGTATCACTACATTATTTCAATATCTATCGTCAGGATCGATCAAACAATAAAAAGAGGTGTGACGGCGGTGTAGCTACGTTTGTAAACGTGAACTAGTGTCGATCTACATTTGCATGTTTCGACTTTTCAAATGACTTTGTCGACTGTCTAATTCTAAGATGTCATCCAAGACATCTGAATAAATAAAAATATCTTTATGTTACCAATATCTACGTAACTACAGACTGCACTATCTGTTTTTTGCTGATGAATTCACTGAGTTCACTGTTACTGTCTTCAGCGATTCACTTTCAGTTGTATGTGGTGATTTAAATTCATGCGACTGTAGCTTCTTTACGTCACTAGGTCACCAAAATGTGGTAGATTTTCCTACTCGTTTGGATGCTCATTTAGACTTCGTTTTCATTAATGATGTGACTCGTAAACGTTCTCCATTGTCTAGCTCGGATCACTGTATAATTCTTGTTCTATCTAAAGTATTTGCAAAGCATGGGAAGAGTACACTCTTAAATCAAACCAAGAAAAACAACTATAGAAATTATTCAGAAGAAAATATCCAAAATCTGAAAAATATGTTTCATACGACTAATTGGGAATTATTTTATAGATGCCTCACTGGAAATCGCTTCTGATGTTATCACTTGTCACCTTAGATTCTGTTTTGATATTTGTTGTACCACTCAAACCATTTTTGTAAATTTTGATCGACTTACGTCTTCACAACTAAAACGACTACGGAGGATGAAAGGGTGAATGCACAAGGAGAAGGACTCTAATTAAGTTCGTAAGCTAAATGGTCCGATAAACCTAGAGATTAGACCTCTCAACTGTATGTTTACTCAAAAGCTCTTATCTTGCAAAAACTCTCAAAGTATGTGCAAACTCTTTAAAGAACTTACAGGTGACAGACAGTTTAGAAGCGATAACCAGCTGAATATTTGTGACTTAAATAAGTCTTATGTACGTCAGTCATCTGATGTGATGCTCCCTCGGTCCACGGGTTTAAATAATAGCTGTGTTTCCACTTTCACAGAGACTGGTGTACGATGATGTCTCCAGTCGCCTAATTCATCTTGATGTTTGGGACCTGATGGTATCCCAAACATCCTTTTTAAAAAGTGTGCTGACGTCCTATGTTATCCGTTCACAGCTATCTTCAACAGATCCTTCCCATCTAATCACATACCGAAAATGTGGAGAAATATGAAGATAATTCCTGTACCCAAGAAAACATCTAGTGATAAGAATGTAAAATTTAGACCTATTGCAATAACTTCACCCTTCCTCAAAACAATGGAAAAATTATTGATACTTTCACTTCAGCCTGCAATAAAAGAGCATATTGATCGATATCAGTTTGCTTACAGACGCAAAAGAAGCACTTTAGATGCTGTTGCTGTTCTGCATCACAACATAGTGTTCAACTTAGAAAAGGGTAAGAAGTACGTTCGATGTGCTTTTCTGGACTTCACTTCAGTTTTTGATTCTATACCAAGATAATGTTTAATTAACAAGTTAATCAGCGTCAACACTGACAGCTGGATAACCAACTGGCTATGTTCCTACATCTCTGGAAGGGAACAGTACACTGTGTTTGGAGGAAAGTGTTCAGAGTCTCTACTGTCTCATGAAGGTGTACCGCAAGGAGCTGTTCTTTCACCTCTTCTTTTCTCTTTTTTCTGCACGATCTGCCATCTTCCACAGAAAACACTTTTTTGAAATATACGGATGATCTCACTATATGTATGCCTATCTCTTCCTCGTTACATCCCATAGAAATGTATGAATTTTTGTCTCATATTTATTGTTGGTCTGTTTGTAATGGTCTCATACTTAATCCATCCAAATGTCGAGCTGTTAACTTTAGCATGAGACATGAAAAGCATCTAAACACCATTTTGAGATCCCAAAATGCTTGTGCCATTGGAGGCTCTTTGATAAACACAGTGTCGAAGGTCGATTATCTTGGTGTCACCTTTCCTCTGATCTGTCTTGGTCTTCGCACGTTTTATTGTTATCTAAGAAGGTTTTCCATCTGACTTACTACATAAAGAGATTGCATGCTCTTGGGATTGCTCGTTATTTACTCTTACAATGTGTCAATTCTTGAATACTACCTATTATTCTTTACTGTTCTCTATTGTTCTTTCCCGGGCATTTGAGAAAAGATTTTGCTGTATTGCGGAGAGTGCTGAGGGCAGTTAGCAAGATGTGTAATGAATCTTTCGAGATCATAATTAATATGGTTGTGGATAGATATATAAAGACATGCAGACTCCTGGCAGGTGTTATCATATATGAACCATCTCCTTCACTCTTATCTTTCTCCTTGTATATCTTCTGGTGGAACGAGACGAAATTATATTGGAATCCAAGTACGCAAGCAAAAGTATAAAAGTTCTATAATACCTTACCTAGCAACTATACTCTGTGACGAACAACTTGTCAGAGTTAACCAAGTCAATAGCCTGCATCCATAACATGTCACTAACTTGGAAGATTCTACAGTTTTTCTGATTTTTTTGCCTTTTTTGTCTTTGTTTCTGTTTTTTGTAAAAGAAACTTGTTGAAATATTCTGTGCTGAGAGTTCTGTATTGTACCAAAATATAATGTTGTATAAAGCCATTAATAATAATAATCTTCATAGGTGAGCCATGACGTGGACTGTCAGACCAAACGATAGACTACGAATCTCGTCTTTGTCATAACATTACATTTTTTAGCATTGTTATGTCATTTTTCTCTTCATGGATTTTATTCACATAGTAGCTGATTTTATTTTTATTAGTAAATATGATTCTCGCACTCATCCTCTGACTTTGAGTTTCGTACCATTTTAGCCTGACGGCACCAAAGCCGTTTTACTATACAGAAGCTGACTTCGACGAGTGAAGCATCACTGACCCATATGCTCAGTTCATTGAGTAATGAATGGACTGCTACGACAATTCAGCAGGTGCGTTACAGCTAGCATGTTTATCGGCTATGTTTCTGAACCTTATGACTCCCTAAAAAATCTGTTCTCAATGCTGAGATCTAACCAATTGACAAGGGTTAGATAAGTTAGCCCTCAATATCGAATTGCAAAACTGCTCAGCAACGCAGATGTCGTTATGTGCTCGGGAGGTCATTAGATAACGAAATTTCGACGATGTCCTATTTATACGAATCCTCTCATCTAAGCTAACCCAACAGGTGAAAGTGGCCCTATGTCATCACAAAATAACGTTACAAATGAACTGGCCGAATCTGCCGATCGGATTTCGGAGATCATCGGAATCACTCGCTTCCGAACGACCGCCTACCACCCACAAGCAAGCAGGTTAGTAGAACGCTTTCACCGACAACTAAAAGCTTTACTATCAGCTGCGAACGTTTCACAGTGGACTGATACTCTTCCACTCGTCTTACTAGGTATTCGCAATGCAGTGAATGCTGACATTGGATACACAGCAGCTCAACTCGTTTATGGAACGAAACTTCGACTTCCAGGACAATTCGTGGATCCTTCATCCTCTTCAATGAACATGGATCTAACCTCCTACACGAACAGGCTTACAAACGCATTGCGTTCAGTTAAACATGTTTCCACTCGATTGCGATCAAGTGATGTTTTCGTTCAACCTGACTTACGATATAGTGCACACGTCTTCGTTTGTCGAGACTCACATCGACGACCTCTCTGATCAGCATACGAAGGACCCTTCAAATTTGTTCAGCGCGAACTCAAGTACTATATAGTCGATAAGAACGGAACCAACGACAGCATCAGCATCGATCACCTCAAAGCAACGCATT